GCTATTGCTAGCAGTGTTTCCATTCTAGAAAGGAGATTTTGGCCCTATACTTTATCAGGCTGAATGTACTTCTGATCAGACAACACGAAGTCAAGTGTACTGACAGGGAAGGGACAACCAGCCAATGAAAGAAGCCACTGCGGGAGGCCTGCAGGCCATTTAGGATTTCCAGAACAGGTAAGAGGTCTCTAGTAGAACTGATTGGCTTTGCCCTTCAGACAGACAGACAGGGAGACAGGCAGACAGACAGACAGACAGAAAGACACGCAGGCAGACATTTTCCTGATACCTGCAGAAGGATCTTGTTGCCATCATGGTCCTCGGTCTGCCAGCGCCCCTCACTGATGGGGCTGCAGGGGTTGGGCAAGAGTGGCACCAACTCACCAATGTCCTTCACCCGGAACTCTAGCACAGAGGAGTCGGTGGGCACCGGGTTCTGGTCACAGGGCAGCCTTTTGAGGGAGAACTGAATATCCACATCCAGATTGGAGAAAATAGGGAAGATGCAGAAGTCCGCTCTCTTCTGGCTGGGGCTCCGGCGCAGGATGAGCTCGTAGAGCCGGAGGCTGTCTGCATAGTTGTCGTGGCGACAGTAGATGGTGAAGCGCACAATCTCCTTGCCGTAGTGCACAGGCCTGATGGCCCACAGTGGGGTCCCGGGGGCCAGTGTGAAGTAATCCTGGCTGCAGGGCAGATAGGGCAGGAACCGGCCATGCACCTGCTCTGTGTGATGGTGGCGCCAGGGTGGCCGCTGCAGCATGCGGTACAACTGCAGGATCTGCTCCTCACCATATTCCTCCTGCAGGAACAGCACCACAGCCAGTGAGGGCTGTGAGTCCTTGGGGGGCTTCCGCCGCCTATGCCGGCCAGCCCGCCGTTCTGACACCCGGAACAGAGGGAGGTCTGGGTGGATCCAGGCTAACACCTTGTCGATGGCCTCCTGCAGCGGCTGGGACTCCCCTGGGTCTGAGATAATGTGGATGCTCACTAGGAAAGGGTCTTGCGCCTCTTCCACGGAAAGCTCACCTGGGGGCACACAAGAACGGAGGAATGGATCATTATTCTGGATGGATGAGTGGATGGGTGGATGATGGATGGATGGGTGGATAGAATGATTATTCTACTTAGTAGAACAGTGGAGGCATGTAGTATAGTATCTTGTCAGGAAAAGAAGCCAAATTCTAATGGAACTGAACTCATGATCTGTGATTTTTTTTTCTGATTCCCAAATACACTTGCAAAAACTTCTAGAGCAATGTCCTAGCATCCAGAGAGAAAAGAGCTATTGCTAGCAGTGTTTCCATTCTAGAAAGGAGATTTTGGCCCTATACTTTATCAGGCTGAATGTACTTCTGATCAGACAACA